ATTCCTGCTCTGCTCCCTGGTGATTATTATAGATGTGTAGATACGCTGATTTTAACACATCAGCTTTTTTCATTTTTAATTGTTATTATATTGCTGTTATAACTTCAAGCATGCAGGAATGAGGGAGCAGGGGGAAGGGGTTGATTTCACTCTGCAATTTCTACTGATGAAAAATTATCAAGAAGAAACCTGGTACAGGTAAACACATCTGTTACTGACTTGACTTGAGAATAGATCCTGACAAATTGGCCATTTTTTTCCAATTGTCGCAGGAATAAAAGCTGTTACAATTAAGATGAGAGCAGCTCAAACTATAGAGCTGTGAAGTTATCATGAAGATGTGGGGGGAGGTGTTTCTAGCAGATCCTTGCAGTGTCATGGAAGTTGGGTTCATATGGGAGAGAGGGTTGAGCCTTGCAGAATGAGTTTTGGAGATGAACTAGCACTTGGATCTCCTTAAATTTCACCTGACAGGACTTAAACCAGTTACATAAATCTCTCATTTTTTGGGGGAGAAAATATTCCTGCATTCATTAAACATTATGGTGAAGTACAGCAGATTGAGATGACTCCATTTCTTTTAGGTTTTGCTATGCAAAACTTGCCACCATGAGGAGCTTTGTAAACCAAAAGCATGGAAGTGTGGGATGCTGGCAGCTGGCTCTTTAGTTCCCAGGTTAATCTAAGTGATGGTGATTTGAAGTTTAAATATGTGTATGTAGTTAATTAAGTCAACACTATTAATGAAGAAAAACCTATGCTAAATGTTTCTTGATGCTATCCAGCGAATTGCCAGCAACCCTGACCCCTGCCTTTTCTGGCCGACATTTTCGTCCACTATTTGTTGTTTGCTGGACTGCAGTTTCAAGAAAGAGCATTATTTCTCATCTCTGGGTGCTGAACTTTGAACAACGGGACCATCTGCTTCTGAGACATCTCTAAAATAACTCATTGGCACAACATCACAGTTTCAGGATCTGGGGAGATAAGTCACAGTCACCTTG